AGGAACTTTAGGTAGGAGCTTTCTTTTAGAAACAAATATCTTATAAATGATGAACTAAACTATTGATAAAGACGTTGAATTAATAATCAAATGTACGACTTCTAACCCCAACTTTCAATTTTAACCCAAGTATATAAAATCATCTTACCAAGTGTAAAGTTTAACAGTTTAGACGAAACATTTCAACAAAAAGGAACCGTCCTGACTTAACTTTGCTGGGCATAAGCAAGATGCTGAATCTGTGTGAAGGCTGTTTTTCGTCTACATGACTCCGTTTCCCGGAGAGATTTTGGAAACTCTCATGAAAAATTTAACAAGAATCAATACCAGTATTTATTTACTGTACACCCAGCTGGAACGCTCTTTATGCTGACATATCATTCAGTCACTGAGAGGTGGAGTGCTTTTGAACTTTAAAGTGCTTGGCCAGAACCTCGTCAGCAACGCCTGTCCCAGAACTCAAACTAATTGACCCAGACCACACCTACAGTAAACTCTGGGTCAGCTAAAGGAAGAGTTTGTTTTAAACTCTGCCAGATAGATTGTTTTATATCTACCCATTTTTCTCTTGTGTGGTTTCTTTTGTTTTGTTGTGTGTGCAAGTCTCTTAAACAGTTTAGCCTGTTATTTTGTAACCGTTCAATCATTTTTTTTTTACTGCAACCCATCTTTTGGACCACCTGGCATGAACGCAAATTCTAAAAGCACCATCATCATCACACTGACAGTTGTTTTAGTTTTATTAGTAAATGTTGGAGGCTTGCCGTCCTGATATTAATCATGTAATAAAAAATATATGAGTTCTTGATTAAGGAGCTAACGCAGAACCTAATATTCTAAAGTGCTGATGAGGTGCAAGTCCAGAAAGCTGTTATATGTTGGACATCAACTCACTTGTTACACATTGAATCATACTGAACATAGATGTACACAAGATTCTTTATTTAATTTTGTTGTTGTTTTGATAAAATCCTGTTAGCTCTGGATTTTAAGTACAGTTTTAACAAGTTTCTAATGTCCTGTTTCTTCAACTACAAAAACACTAAGGAATGATAGGTATAGACGGCAAATATTTATTTGATGGTTTTTGTTAATCTTTTTAAAATTATTATTGAGTTTCTTTTTTAATATGCTGTTTCTATCTCTGCACATTTTTATCCGAGAAGTAGTTTTTTTGTCCCATGTTTTGAGTTTGGGTTAAGCAAAAAAACAAAAGATTTGAGGGCAAAAATTACCAACAGTTGATGTGAGAAGCATGAAAAGTTATAATAACAAATGTTTTTCAGGAGAAAAAGTTTTTCTTTCTTTTGGATTTTATCATTCAAGTTTGATAAGTGGTGATTAAAAAATATAGATAATAATAAAAAATAAAAAAAAGATTTGCCAGACTTTGTGTAACCTTGAGGAAATTAATAGTTCTGATATTGGCAAAATAAATGAATGCCTTTCTCAAATAATTACCAACCACTTTTGAAAAAACTGTTTGCAGCCCAAGACAAAACTGAATTAATGTAATCAACACAATAAATGAGTTAGTTATTTCTACTTGTATAGAAAATCCTGTCAAGGCTATGACCTGATTTTGGCATGTTATAAAAGCAACTTTAAATTTGAAAACGGTAACAACATGCTTGTTTGGGTATACTGTATGTACCCTGGTATCCATCCTGGTATATTAGTCTGGTTTGTGTTTAACTGGAGATCTGATTAGAGAGCACTTCCAGTGATATTTTATGTCAACTTTTATTTTTCTGTTTGAAAAAAAAAATTGTAGCTGTGAGCTGTCGCTTCCTCTAACTTCTCCTTCCCACTATTGCAGTCTTGAAGTAAATAGCACTAATTATCTGCTCTCACTGCATCAGAAAATTAAAAAAAACAATTAATAATTAGATGTATGAACTGACCTAAAGTGGGCTCGCTCCTCTATGGGCAGCACAGTTTGAGGCGCACATCAGCTTTTGCTTTTCTTCTTTTTATAGGCTGCAAAAATAAAGTCTGATCATTTAATAAATACAGTTCTAAATTATTTTTTTCAGCTTTTTTATTATAAACTTTAAAATTAACTTTAACAGCAAACAATTAAAACAAGAAATGCATTGTTTTAACCCAATGTGTGTTTTTTGGCGTACGTTTGAATTTTTTGAAAACAAGAAAAGAGTCTTGTTCACAATGATGCTGTTTTTTTTCCAAACTTATCTTTTTATTTATAAGTTTTAAAAAATGTCATTCAAAACAAAAAGGTTTTAAAAAAGGTTTTCATCCACTCAGAAATGCAGAAATCAAAACTCTGTAGTAAACACACCAGACCTGTATGTGAAACTTTATCGCGGCAACAAAAATGCATCAGAAACAGGAAGAAGTACATGGAGCATGCACATAAAGCCCAAAATGCTGGGTAGGAACCTTAAACACAACACAAAGAAAAAGTCAAAAGTGAATACAAGAGCAAAAAAACAAATATTTTACATGGTTTGGCGACATTATTCTTTGTGTCACACTGAAATACTAAACTTTCCCTCTTTTTCTAATTTTTGTAAAGTACACAATGTATATTTTTTCTGCAACTTTGCTTTTTAGTATTGTTAAAAATAACAAAAAGTAATAAAAAAAATTTGGGGGCTTTAATAGTTTGTGTAAAACAAAGTAATTTTGCTCTGCTCTAAGGTCACATTATTGCTCATCAGCATTGCAAATAGTAAATGGACTGTACTTACATTGCACCTTTCTCACCAACCAGGCTACTCAAAGCACTTTACAACACAATCCGTGCCCTCATTTATCCATCCACACACACATTCATACAACACTAATGCATCTCTACAAAACCAATCTAAAAGAAAAATCAACTTATAGTCTAATCAGTGCTTTAGATTACATTCATACACCAATGGGACACTTCAGAGGCAATGAGAGGTTCATTGTCTTGCCCTGGGGCTCTTTGACATGGGACTGTATACTGGTGGAATTGAACCTCAGACACTGTTGTTGGAGGTTGACCGCTCTAATCACTGAACCACAGCCACCCTTGTCTGCTCATTGAAGACAAAATGATAAATATGGACATAAGTCAGACCTTTGGGGTAGTTTATGCTCTAATTGTGTAAAATGAGCTCTATTTCTGTTGTTTCTCTCCCAGGACTGGCTGAGTAAATTCGGCTACCTCCCTCCTCCCGACCCAGTCACCGGCCAGCTGCAGACCAAGGAGGCTCTGACCAAGGCCATCAAAGCCATGCAGAAGTTTGGAGGGTTGAAGGAAACCGGAGTCTTGGGTATGTGGCGCAGAAGGCAGTAGCACTGTGACTTTACTGTATCAAACCAGAGAAGAAAGTATCTGCATTAAAATATAATGAAATGCTCCCAACACAAACACAGAGAGTGATATCAGAAAGACCTAAATCAATATCACCGAGACACAACACTGAGAGGTAATATTTATTTCACACTTATTTATCGGGTAGTATTATACTGCACAGCTGTCTACCCACCAAAAGACACCTTGGAAACATAAATCACACTTTCTGTCACACACAGAGAAAGGAATGACAATACCTCTATGGGCCTACTGTATGTGATTGATGATGCTTGCATGTGAGAAACAGAACAGTGTATTGATTAGTGTGTGTTCCATTCTCTCTCGTGCACCACACTCATAATTTCCTGCAGTTCATGTTGGCAGTGTCTTACTCGCATGCACCACTATCCTCCTCTGCAATCAGCATCACTCTTTATCTCACATGCGTGACAACAGAAAGTAGAGCGCAACGCCATGTGTGAGTAATTTTACAGGAGTTGCGTGTTTGCGAGCAAATGAGTTGCACTGGTTGGTCCAAACCTCCTGCATGCAAATATACTATACAAGTGACCATTTTTAAACAGATATTGACCTACTGTAGATGCTTAGATTAGGTTTCCTTATAATGTGTATTTGTGTGTCGTCTAATTTATTTTGTATGAAATAAATTATAGTTGTTCTTATAGCAGTTTCATTGAATTAACTTGCACCTAAATTATCTCTCCTCACTTGTTTTGTCCTTCAGACCCAGCCACACTCGGTCTAATGAAAACACCCAGATGTTCTCTGCCAGATGTCTCCGACGCAGACGTGACGACGGGGCGCAGGAAACGAAGCCTGAACCCGCAGAATAAATGGAATAAAAGGCATCTCTCCTGGAGGTAAGAGAAATTAAGATGTGCTAAACATGTCTAAAAATAGACATAAAGCAGTATCCTCCACCTGCAGACACTGAATTATCCTGGGACTGGAGTTAGCTCTTGTCTTGATCACTTGCTCAGGCTTTTTACAGTGGCAAGCATCTTGCTGATGTGAGGCGACCAGCAAACAAGCTATCACTCATGTTCGTGCTCATTTTCATCCTAGAATGCACAAGTAGCCTCATTCAGGCATCCCCGAACATAAAAATAAGTTCTGCAGGTAAATAATCCCACTGCTTCAAAACTTCTTTTTTTTATTTTTATTACCATGCTGTGTTTTTATTGTCGTGTACCGCCAAATGGACCAGGGGACACATTTGAATGCATCTTTCAGGAAGTAGTCATTGGATGTGCAGTACATCTATAATTAATTGACATTTGAAGTGAACTCACATCAAGATGGCCACCACAACTAATGGACCTTTGCCAACACAAAAAGAGCTAAAACATACACAAACTGTGTACATTCAGGTAAAGTAGGTGTTGTTGTACTTGAGAGTCAACCTGAACACGTACTTCAAGCGTCAACACAACCCGTGAGATGTGGTTGTAACCGATGGATGTGGCAGCCATCTTGTAGTTATACTTTGTCAGGAAACATAGTGAGCAATATGAATTCCTTGATTCCTTGGCCTTCAATTTAAACAATATTTTTATCTTGTCTTAGAAACAAATACATTGTTGTCAGCAGATGCTATTTCTTATACAGTCATCTTCAGTACTTTGAAAACTTTACCACTGATAATTCAGATCCTTTGAAATGGAGTTCTGTGGAACGTTTGTGGACAATTATTACCTTGCCTCTTGTAGATGGTTCTTTGAACAACTTTCTTTTGGGGGTGGGGATTATTTCTGGCATAGTGATGGGCCATTTTGAGAAGGACCAAGGGAAAAATGTCTTAAAACTGTTGCAATCTCAAAAGCTTTAAGGTGGTTTGGGGAAACACTTCTTTAAGAACCTTTAGATCACCAATAGTTTCATTTTATACACCTATTCCAGCAGAAATAATATGATGATGTTGCAAGAAGTGATGCACGGGGAGTGCTACAGCTCTATGTTGCAGCCACTACTTGCTCGATCAAACAACAATTTTAAAAAATAGCAATTAACTCATCAATCTGATCAGAATTAAACTCTTTTACCTAAAAGTCAGACCATTCAAAGAGCTATTTGCAGGATGTGAGATATTAGTTTGCTCATAACCTTTCCAAAAAACCCCATTTCAGAAAATCTGTACTATCTTTTTAAAACGTCAAGAGTACTCCTTCAAAAGAAATGTGACTATTTGGAACAGAAAAGGTTAGAAAAATACACTGTTAAATTGAAGAACAGCATGTTTGCAACAGGTAGACAAAAAAAAACTACCTACTTCAGATAAAATGTATTCAGTTCATTTGACAAGACTCAAGAATTCAAACAAATAAATAACCAAATACAATATAACTATGTTTTAATACTATAATAAGTAGAAAATATAACCCCTCAGGTGATTACATCAGTCAGTACATTATCCGTGGAATTATAGAAAACAGGTTTTAAAGAGTCGAGCTTTTTATTTATTTTTTTGCTCCATCTTCATAAAAAATGATAATTACTGGTAGATAGTCTTTGTGGAAAATATCCAGCTGGTTACCAATCCATCCATCCATCCATCCATCCATCCATCCATTATCTTTCCCCGCTTCTTCCATTTTGGGTCACGGGGGTCACCGGTGCCCATGTCCAGCAATCACGGTATGAGGGGCAGGGTAAACCCTGGACGGGTTGCAAGTCCATCACAGGGCCTCATAGAGACAAACGAGACAAACAACCATTCACTCTCTCACTCACACCTTGGGACATTTTAGAGTAACCAATCAGCCTAATATGCATGTTTTTGGTTTTTGGGAGGAAACTGGAGTACCTGGAGAAAACCCACACATGCATGGAGAGAACATGCAAACTCCACCCAGAAAGGCCCCTCAGACTGGGATTTGAACCAGAGTAACCTGCTTTCTGAGAGGCAACAGCTCTACCAGTTGCACCACCGTGCTGCTCCCGGCTGGTTACATTTAACATAAAAAAAGCAAGAAATTAAAAGGTATATTTGGATAAATCAATAGAAAATGGAGAAAATGTCTAAAGTCAATGTGAACTCAAATGACAAGTAGTCAGGGTTTGTACTGTTCGTGCACAATGGAAGATGCTGAAGGTATTTTGGGTGATTGCGTTATTCCTCTAGTGTGCCTCCTAGTGGAATCCTTCACATCTTTGGAGCATTTGTAAGTAATTGAGCAATAAGGCTCAAGATGCAGTCGATTGTGTATGCAAATTTGTCCTCAAATAGAAACTAAATGCACGTTGTGGTTTTAAAAGTGATACACGGTGAGGTCTACAGAATGGTGGCATGCAAGATGATTACCATAAATGGTATCAGGGGTGTTTTTGCAAGTAGATGATCTGCTGCAATGTGGTGTTTCTGCCAGTTTGTGTAATCTCTGTCTGTCCAAAATCAGTGCAGGAGACACAAACAGAGGCGCTGGGAAGCAAATGTACACATCTGAGGGGGAAAAAAATCTACAAAACTTTTGTTGTACTTATGCACATCCACAAAGAGGAACATGGAAATACAAATACACCCACACATAGTTTCTGTAGAGGAGACAGGGCTTCTCAGACAGCCACAACTTTTGATCAGATCTGCAACACCTTCAGAAAATCGGATGTTCAGATGGTGTTTATGAAGACAGTGTTTGCTTTGCATAGCATTTACCAGTGTTTGTTCAAGACGCATAAATTAGAGAACTCTGTTAGTAGTTGTTTAAAAAGAGATTAACCCTAATACTGAGGTCTCAGGGGTCATTTTCACCCAAGAGCAGCAGTAGGGTTCAAATAATGACACTTCATTGTATATTGAAGTGGATGGTACAAGTTGGTGATGAAGTTACTCCACCATCATAACAGCAAAATTCACCAAACAGGATTTAATTTAAAAATAATACAATCAAAATGATTAGATTTTTGTTGAAATGGCAAAAACTTTCTATATTTCAGTATTGACCGCATAAGTAACTTTCAAAATGCGTTTGACACTGTGATAAAAACATAATGCTAAATATTTGTGTAGCAAAAAGTAACTTAAAATAAACTTTAGGCAAGGTATCATTGTAAAGAGGAGGAAAATCAAATACAGATGCAACTGATAAGTTATTTTTCCTCATGTGTGCTTGTTTTCATGTTTCTGACTACTACAATTATCTTGTGGACCTCTGAGCAGATTTTAATGAAACTTTCAACCCATTTAAAGATGGCCCTCACAGTTAATCAATGTCAACACAAAATATATGTAACTTGGTCAATTTTCAGATACTGAGCCAATATTTGATGTGCTGGTGGCTGGAAATCATTCACATCACATACAGTGTGGCATCTGGTAACATCTTGATGTTAAAAGATCATCATCGTCTTCTTCTTGCAGCTTTTCCTTCTTCAGGGGTCACCACAGTGAGTCATTCTCCTCCATCTCACTCTGTCCTCTCCATCCTCTGTCTTCACTCCAACTACCTTCATGTCCTCTGTAACTGCATCCATATATCTCCTCTTTGTCCTTACTCTGTCTTTTTCCTGGCAGCTGCATTTCTATCATCCTTCTACCAATATACCCACTGTCCCTCCTCTGGACATGTCCAAACCATCTCAGTCTGGTCTCTCTAACTTTATCTCCCAGTCCTTCAACCTGTGCTGTACCTCTGATGATCTCATTCCTAATCGTATCCATCCTTGTCACTCCTAAGGAGAACCTCAACATCTTCATTTCTACCACTTCCAGTTCTTTCTCCTGTGTTTTTGTCCATGTCTCTGTCTCCAGACAATAAAACATAGCTGGTCTCACCACTGTCTTGAAAACTTTTCCTTTGACCTTTGTTGACACCCTTTTGTCGCAAATCACTCCTGAAATTTGTCTCCATCCACTCCATCCTGCCTGGACTCTCTGTTTCACCTCTTTACCAAACTCCCCATTTTCCTGGACAGTGGACCCCAAGTACTTGAAGTCCTGCACCTTTGTGACCTCTGCTCCTTGTAGCCTCACTGTTCCACCCGCCTCCCTCTCATTCACACACATGTACTCTGTTGTACTACGGCTGACTTTCATTCCTCTTCTTTCAAATGCATACTTCCACCTCTCCAAGTTTTCTTCCACCTGTTCACTGTTCTCACCACAGATCACAATGTTATCTGCAAACATCATAGTCCACAGAGATTCCTGTCTGACCTCATCTGTTAGTCGGTCTATCACCAGAGCAAACAAGAAGGGGCTCAGAGCTGATCCTTGATGCACTCCCACATCCACCTTGAAGCTATCTATCAATCCTATGGTCAAAAGGTCACCATAAGCCATAAAAAGCTACTCTCCCACATTTCACACTCAAGTTTATCCATTTCTTGCATCCTAAACCAGACGTAGGCAAGATGTGGTTCAAGGGCCAAAAGTGGTCCTTTAACAATCTCTATCTGGCCACCAATATCCTTAACTGAAAAGAAAACTACTTACATAAAGTTTCTTAAGATCTGCATTTCATCAATACAAGTTATAAGTCTAAATTAAGCATCTTCAACAAAACATACAAAACATTTGGATTAAGTAAAAAAAGAAAGAACAGAAAAGTAATTAATGTTTTTGTGTTTCCAGAACTAGACTGAACCTGAATGACTCTAAAAATAAACATAACATTTTATTTACATATTTAATTTAACAAATGTGTTGTCACAAAAGCCAGTTTACAGAAAGTATGTCTTGTATCCTAAAGTTTATTGGGGAGACATGTTTTTAACAAACAAGCTAACTATGCTACAAGTAAAAGCCTGGAAAAAAAAAGTCATCCACATTATCAGTCTTTAAAAAGAGAGTCCAATTTTTCATGTGGCCCTTTGATTGTGTTGAATAATTCCATTCGGCCTTCTGGAGAAAAAAAAGGTTATC